GTTCCGCACCAACGGACGCGTAGTCTCAACAACATTACAATTAAAAAAAAAAAAAAAAATGTTGAGCGTAATATTATTGTATTAATTTCTTATTTTATCATTATCATTATTTATTTTGGGTGTAATTTGCTGACACAAAACTTGATAAATACTCATGTTGTCCTCTTATTTACAAATTTTATTTACATTAAAATAAAACGTGCAATGTTAACTATACGCGGGAGATAGTTTAACCAGTGCAAATTTCGGAAAGAGAAAGAGAGACATTGAGAGTCGAAACATAATACGAGAACGTGCGGTGCTTGTACGTTTGTTCGTGCCGCTCGCAAAACAACAATACGATGTATTTTCGCAGTACTTATACACTGGACGCGGCTTGTTTAGAGTAACTTTTTCACGACGAGCGTACCGCCGTTGCTGTTTTACATTGCGGCGCGCGGTCGCCGAGATTGGCACAACGCTGCCTTTATTTCCTTTGTCCAATTACACGCTGCCCGTTTTAGGTAATTGCACCGCCGCCCCCGGGTTTTCGGAGCACCCGGGATATGGCGCCGGACGATAATCCACGTAGCCAGATGATAATTCGTCACGCGTAGCGCTGTAACGATGACCAGTTTCCGCGGGAATATCCTCCATTCATTTTGCAGTCATATTTACGACGCGAATTTGTCGTCGTCGGGTGCACGTTGATACGCGCTCGTATACGCGGTGTACGTTTTTCGCGTCGGCTAATAAAAAGGCTAATAAAAAGGCTAATAAAATACAACATTCGCGATTTGTGAAATTTTCTCGGATTCGAAATGTTTCATCGCTCGTTTATTTAGGTTGTGAAAGAGTCTAGCTTTGGAACTTTATGAATTTTAAAGAGATGCAGTGAATGATGACGATGTGCGCTATATTGATTTTTTTATACACGAGTAGAGTATTCCATGCTGGATCGGACAGTTTATATTTTTTTCACGTTAAAATTAAATACGCGATGATTCTCCGAAATATTGCTCGTCTCTTTAACTACTTATTTGATACGGCAAGAAATATGGAACTATGAAACTATGGAATTAAATGGTTAACGATGTAATGGCTTAATTAATGGCATTTCTTCGAGCGAAAGTTTTTCTAAAAGAGAATTAGAATAATCACTTATTCGTGCATATATTGAATAATTTGAAGAGATATGTGGTAACTATGAATCACCCTGTGTATAATGAGGCCAAGAGAATCTAAGCCGCCTAAGGGGTGCAAGTGGGTCGTTTAAGCAATTTGCAGCTGCACAACCGACAATTGCACCATTAGAGTTAATTAATCTCTGCGGCTGAAGGAATTATTTGCACCTATTTCACGGCTTTGTCGCGTTCAGCAAATGTGCGATTTAACATGGCGATTTGTTCCGCGCTGTAAAATACGATACTTTAGTCGGCTCCATTACACTTTTGAAATGACAAGATGACAGTTAAGAAAATAAAGCCGAGCCAGATTGCACTCAGCGCTGTCAGAAACGAACAGAAATTTCGGCGCAGACGCGATGTGTGATTCACAAGATCGTAAAACGATTTCTGCCGGCGCGTTACACCGATCGAGGCGCAAAGAGGGAGCGACTTTTAATAGGTCGTCGAAAAGAGTCTCGCGCATACGGTAACCGAGGCTTTAAAAATAATCGGTGTCATCCTCAATGGCCTCACGATCAAATGAACCAAACCGTCTATTCGTCGTGGTTTTTCCCAGCAATTTGTATTTATCTCTTCGATTCTGCGAAATAATTTTTTGAAATAACATATAGCGATGCATATATACAAATATGTTTTGGTGCACAAATTTACCAAACTTTCAAGGAGAAATGTTCTTTCGAAAACAGAATTTAAATTTGATTTTATTAAAGAAATTCGTAATTTGTATAAAAATATTTTATCGTGGCATAAACATTTTATTTTACGAAGAAACTTTTTGTAATTTAATATGCTTTCTTTGGGTCAAACTAAAGAAAGCTGTCGCAATATCTTTCAATCTTGTGTACAATTATAATTGTTTCTTATTGTATTTGAAAGTAATTTAACCAGTCTTTTTTTATTTTTTATCGCAGAACCAGTAAGAATCTTATTTTAACAATTACCGATCATAAAAAGCAAAAGTCCAAAAGATATTCACGGCATTTATACTCCATGATGTTCGCGGCGAAACAGCGCTTTTCGAGCAGTTTTGCAGCTTGAGACTGCGTTTTTTTGCCGACACATTTGCATACGCGCTCGGCCACCATCTCCCGCGTTTTTCCGATAAATTATATTTGCCAAGTCGGTGCTAGAAACTCGGCTTCGGCGAACCCGTGCACGCGCGAACCAAGAGCCGCGGCGAATGCAGATTTACGCAAAATAGGAGTCCATTTTTGAGAGACTGTCGTCCGGCAGGATAGAGAGAGAGGGAGAGAGTTCACACTCTAACGGCGAGCGTGGCTGCGTATCCGGTGGACGTCGACGCCGGATACAGGAAAACATATAATTTAACAGACAGGGATAGAGTTTGGTGTGCTAAACGGGCGTTCGACCCACTTTCGCGAGCCTCTATTATTACCGGGATCTTTGTCGAAACGTCGACGTTGCGCGTTGAATTTGCGTGCAATTTGCGTGGATAATTCACACGCGTGGAGTAACTGTTCCAAAACATTGAAGGTAATGCGGTTTATCACGGTCCATATATATTACACAATAATATTTACATGTTAATTAGAGATTTCATAAAAACGCGCAAGATGGCGAGAATTTTTACTTCTTTTATGTCTATTATATTTTGTTTTAGCAATAAACGTTGTACTAAAAAGCATACATGTGTTTAAATATTATTAAATATTTTTATTCATTTATTTGTAAACATTTTTAAATTAAAAAAAATTTGAATTAAAAATTTATGTGTGTTCCGATGAATTATTATTTCAAGTTTATATTTATGCAATTTTTTTATATTAAAACGTGAACATTCGGAGTATGTATTTATACAGCTCTCAGCTCTATACATCAGCGTAAAAAATAAAATTGAATTTAATCGCGTTTTTAATATATCCGCTTATTCAGAGAGGTTGGAAGAATTCGAATATAAAATTCGGGAAATTGCAGTCCGTACGAATATGCAGTAGTGCATATTGAAGTACTGACCGGTCTCGGATGTGGAAACGAATATAATTCAACAACGTTGAACAGTCTTGCAACGAATAAGTGCACAGAGGTGTTCGTCCGAGTTTTTGTCGGATGCACCGATTGTTCGTCGAAACGCAAACGTGAAATTCTCTATGAAATAGCGTAACGTTATAAAACGATTCTTCACTCGTGCAAACGCCACTTTGCCGTCTCATCGTGTCGGCAAATTGTGTTCAACGCATTAAATTTTCAAAAGGACATTCTATTCTCTGCTTTTTCATATTTGCATGCTTTACATTTTGATGAATTAAGTCGATTATTGCAGAATCCAGCATATAAAGCGCATAAAGAAACATTAACACGATCGCGAGAGTATTAATTTGAGGCCGGAGTAGCGCATCCATAAATAATTTTCGGATTCAGGACAGTAGATTCTCCGGAATTATATACAGTCTCGCCTTAACGGATTTAGAAACGCTTGTGTGGTATCGTAAATGAACGACGTAAATCAAAATTCAAATGATGTTCCGGCGTGATACATCGTGTAAAAATTTCGCAAAAATTATCGTGTGGCTTATGCCGAGCCGGGCCGTGTGCAGCATTATCCGGCATTTTCCGCAAAAAGAGGTTTCGAGGAGAGTTGGCAGCTCGTGGCAACTTCCGCGCCGCACTGCAACCACGTTGCTTTGGCCAAGCACATTATGTGGCACAGCTCGATGACGTAACACGAGAACGGCTTTAGAGGATTTTAGCTGTATTTTAACGAGATAATTCACTTTGTTGCATGTTATAAACTCGATATGATTCCTCAACAAATCTCTTGTCGATCAAATTATCCAATCTTTGTACAATTGTAAATGTAAGATCAAGTGTAGATTTATATAAAAAAAGAATTCATTTTCCGATAAATATGTATTAAAAAAATTTTTTTTTGAGAATTAAATTTAAATATTTAAGTTCTGATGGTGTTTTTTGGGGGAATATCAATTTGTCACGCAAACAAATGTCTCATCATGCGTATGAGTTCATTTTCGAGCATAATAACTCTTATTTGTCCAGAATCAATTGGCAGGTAACGTGCTTAAATATAACATTGGAGAGTTTCGTCGAAGTCAATAATTGATTTTGTTACCAATCGTAGGGGAACAATCGGGATTCCGTGGAATTACGACTCGCGCGCGACGCGATGTGCCAATAACAATGTGTCTTACTCCGCGAGAGCGGAGAATGGTCCGGAAAAGAGAGAGGCTCGGGAGATTAGACGTCTTTCTTCGTTTTAGCGTTTTTCTCGCTCGCTGTGCGCGGAATCCTGTACGCGAAGGTCCTCCGGGGCATCTCGCCGTGAATTCTGACGTGCTGTTCCGTGAGCCGCATTACGCCACGACCAGCACGTCGGCGTAATCCGTCATTTTCGCATTTGCCCGCCGCGACCGCATAGAATTTACGTATGCGCCGGCGTCAGTTGACGCAGATTGATGTTTAATAAAAACATAGCTTTCGAAATGCATTAGAGTGTAGTCGACACGCGCGTGAGGATTCTAATAGTCAATCGAAAAACAATATAAACTATTTTCCCTTGGTCATAGTTATGTTACAAAATAATAAAGTATTTTTCTCGCTGCTTTTTTAATATATAAATAGTTTGAATACATAATTTATAATGTATACATTGACGTGTTCTATAAAGAGAATTCTACTATTTATTAAAACATTTCAAATTTTTTGAATACTTATTGAAATTTTCAGATATTTACGCAATTTGTTGCATACAATTATGTTTTAAGTAAAATGGAATAATTAAATAGTACATAATAATATACATGAAATGATAATAATTATATGATAATTTAATAAGTAAAATATATATTATTTTTTTAGATTCAGCTGGAGACGTAATTGATTAGTGCTACAACGTTTGGTGAGTGAATTTATTCATTATTTTTGCACAAATCTATCTATATAAATATTTTTTCAACAAAATTATCTCACGTCTTTCACGTTGTATTTACTGTTTCCTGCTGTCTCTCATTTTGTAGTCCAGAGCCATATGATAAATGACTGGTCGAATATCAGTGCGGCTTTCAAAACTTTGCAAGCGGCTTTGCATTGCTATACTTGCATAGTCGCGCGTCCAGCGACAAATCCTTCGGTATCTGCGCGATCTACTTGATCTGGAATCGACCGTGAAACAAGCGAACGAATGTGTGCTTCGCCCATGGCACTCTCCTCGTCTCTCTCAAAGCGTTTCAATTTCCTTGTTCGGCAAATTTCAAGCCGCGTTGTACGCCGTTGGCCCAATGTTTGCCGGTAAATATTGGCGCCGTGGCTTGGTCAGAGTGAAAGCAACGAGCATTTATTTTAGCCGCGGTAGTTGTCGTCGTAGATCGGACGAACGTAAAAGCGTCGTGAAATAACGGATGTCGCGCGCTTGCCGAGATTATTGCCGATATATCGCAGTGCATCCGTGATTTTTAAGCACGACTTTTTGTTTATGATTCGCAAATCGAGATTATTCTAGATTTCTATGAAAATCGACCTCACACAATTCTGTCTTCGTGATAATTGTGTGATCGTTAAATTGAGAAATCATGCGATATATCGGTGTGTACGCACGTGTTCGCCGATACACGAGAGGCGAAACAAAAGAATAATCGATGCGTTCGAAATTAATTAGCAGCGGATCAGATAGGTACGACTCGTCGTTGAATTATTATTCATCGGGAACCTGAATGACGCCGTGTGAATTGTTTTATATTCCGATTCACACATGCCGCGCACACAAAGCTTTATGCAAGCGGCGCCGTCGCCATGCCCATACACATCATTGTATAAACGTGAATGAAAAGCTCTTTATCCCAGCAATCCTGTCTGCGTAATTATAATTAAAAGTTGAAGTGTCGGCCGCGTCAAACGCGCTAATGAGCGCCAGAGATGAAACTGTGAAAATTTATCGTTCCGACATGAAAGTCTCGTAGCGGCAATCACTATGCGATGACCACTTCATTTCGCCATCGAATTTCTATCGTTGCTTGAAATTTAATAAATTTTGTATTTGTGATTGAGGTTTGATTAATGTTAAATGCCGCGATAATTGCGCATTTTGTCTGTGCAAAAGTAAGATCGCGACATTTTGTTTATAACAATAATGATAATATTTTCATTTCGTACGATAAATTGATAAATCAGATACATGTTATATTTTTTCATTATTGTAGAATTTGTTTATTCTATTTTTACTTTTTGTTTACAGTACTTTTACAACGTTGCCGCGTATTTTCTCTCTAATTTGCATTTATTTATACAATAAACATACAAGATATATAAAATATTGCGTAGTATCTGTCGATCATAAATATTTCAAGCATAATTGTACAGATGATGTGCGCGTGCTGCTTCTCGGTTGTCTGAAAATTCGGCTCGGATTTCTTAATTCGTGAACATTTTATTACCGACAATCTTTCCTCGGTCGGTGTGCTGCCTGCGATTAACTGGCGGAAGTCGGCGAGGAAACGTAAGTACGAATACAGCTCAGTGTAACGGCGAGATGAGTGCAGCACGCCTGGGCATGGCGGAGAAATAAGTTCTTCCGAGGTGCTTCCGTTTTGGGGAGGGATGGCAGGAACGTGAATGGAAGTGGAAGAGATTTGTGAGTGGAAACACGGAAAATACGAGGACGTACTTCCACGACGTGCAGATCGCCGGGGGCAGGGCGGTCGTGGCGCGTGATTTATTCACCTAACCGTATATAGAGGTGAGATCGTATCGGGAGCATCGATTTTTCGAGCGGCGCGGATTGCGAGCGATTTGTCTTCCGCAAAGGTGTCCCGCATTAACGCTAGAATCGGCGATAATAATTACCGTGGAATGACGGCGCGAAATCTGTAACAATAACCTTATTTCTTCATCTTGCGAAAGTAAAATCCGCGTATAAATAACATTTCGGAGAGTTTAATGTAGCCATTCTTCTTATTGCCGCATGTGACGTGAAATCCCAGATGTTCTGCGCGTATCTTCGCGACACCTGGTAGTTATAGCAAAGGATATTTTGTTCCACTAATGTCTTCTATAATATTTATGGTTCACGTATATAGTTCTGAAGCTCATATTTTACTCATCATGCACAGTTTATAAGAGTGAATTAATTTCACTCGCACCCATCGTTGCGATTTATTATACTTTATCTCAACCGGGCTAAAGCGGATCTCAGCCATGCGTTGCATTTTTAACACTAATATGAATGAAATTCATTAATATTTTCCGCAACATTTGTAATTTCGCGCGATTATTGAAGAATATGGTTTTACTCGGGCGTATATTTTGTAAGAGAAGGAAAAATAATTATTAGACTTGACACGAGTGAATTTTATTTATTTTTCGTCGGCGGTCAAGCGGAAACCAGTTCGATAATCTGCAAGAGGCCAGAGCAGTTCCCTTACGGCCATTGCAGTTTCCCTTTACCACTTAATCGTACCTAAAGACGGTCTTTATGTCCGCCTTATCGTGGCCACGTGGTGCAACGTATGGATTCACGCCCATAGCATGTATAACGTCGCGATCAAATACGAGATTATCGGATATACATTTTACGGGAAATCGATGATTTAGAATAGAATGAATATATCAGTGTAAACGCATGATTTCAGTTTGGTAGAGTTATAAATTGTTAATGTTTGATATATTAACGTGAATTAAAATATCCTATTTTTAGGATACGAAAAAGAGTCAAAAGGGAATTGAAATATTATTGCCAATATTTTAATAAAATATTGCCTGATTATTAATCTATTTGATGTTAACCAAATTAAGTGAAAAAATAGTAGGCAATATATAATTTTTATCACAAAATGGTTATTGAAACACTTGACTTGCTTTTCATGATTTGTTTTAATTTAAAATTTGTTAAAATCTTTTTAATAACTCTTCGAAAAAAGTAGATTTACAATATTATAGTTTATATAATTTTTATAACTTTGCTTTCTTTATCTAGAAATTATTAATCGATTTAATCTTAAAGTCGTTTTCAAAACAGGCCATCCTAATTTAGTTCCTTGTCGTGAGTTATTTATCAACCATTGACAACTTATAAATTGGATTGCTTCACGACTTCGTGGAACTTTGATAGCTGTCGATAAATTTCATTTAACCACCATGGGAATCGCCGAGTAAAAAGGGAAGAAGACAGAGGGAAATAATTAAAATTGGCTCATTAAAATTTTCATACACGCAGCTGCGTTATCCGATTGATGCACGTCAAAGCTAATGAATCAGTTCGAAAGCACAATAAATTCAAGAATTTAATTTATTCTCGGTTGAAAATATCGTGTTTAAAATTTAGGTGTTCAAAAAAATAGAGGGATTTATGGAGGGCCATGGAGACGTAATGCGAACTTATATCTCTTTTGCAGAAGCTGTAAGTCTTCGTTTCTGAAAGACGTTGCATTAGCTGATTCTGTTTTCGAAAATTACGGACTTGCATTGTTCTCAAACTGACTGGTTCAAATGATCGTACGTACTCGGACGATGGGATTCAGAGAGAGAGAGAGAGAGAAAACAGCAAATACGTTTTGCAATCACGCAATCACGTAATGGCCTGCAACGTGTCAGACAGCACGACATTGGATGGGTATAGTGCTAACGCGGAAACCCGATACCAATACGCTGGTCGTTAACGAGAAAATGGCAAGTTGGTTAGAAGCATCGAATTTCAAGGCCGGTGAATTACATGACATTTTTCGTCAAATTCCGCCAGCTGCTTCGCAAGAATTTGAGTGACGTCTAATTAACTGACCGTTAGTGTCTTTTCGTTTGGAGACAGATGCGAAGTAACTCAGCAACCTCATAATATTTATGTATATTATTTGAACAAAGAATGTATGTGGATATAGATCTAATTATATTACTTTTTTTAATGAGGATACAGAAATCGCGAAGAACGCATGTCGGTCGATGTTATAACATCGACCACTTTCAAGTCACATTCTTCCCGTGTATCTGCTGAATTTCATCTGTAAAATTTTCCGTACAACTTCGTTTTGGTATTTTCACCCTCGGAATGATCCAAACTAACATGATGTGCCATAATAATTTAATGACCCGCGCGATTACCGCAGTCGCTCCTGCACTTCGAAGAAAATAGATAATTGGGATCTGACGAGATCCAGAACATTCGGCGGAAAACGCATTTCCCCTCCGTTCCATATCGCGGTGATTCACCGGCGCCATTTGCGCGTTTATTCCGCGATAGGATACCTGGTATATATCCGCGGCAGTCTTGATATTCGATGCTCGACTTCGACTACTCGCACCCAGGGAAATCTCTTTTCCGTTCGCGCCATTACCGCGTAACGGCACTTCGCTATCTCGATGAAGTCGGTCGAGGATCCTCGGACAGAAACGTGTCCTCGCCCTCGTCCCCGGGCCGATTCCGTCCGCGTGTTGAGGACTTGCCGTTTTACTTTTTCCGCCTTACGCTCTCCTTCGTCCGCAATCAACGCGCGACATCGCCGATTCGAAGGCGCTTCCTCAAACAACTTTCTCGCTCCTCGTCCGCGCGTCGACGTAGATCGCGACGATACCAGCGACAGAGTTGTCACCATCGCCCCTTTCATTCTCTTTATCCCTCGGTTATTTCTATCTCTTTTTGCACACGACTGTTCCTTCTCAAATATTACTCGATATCGCCCGAAAGAGCACGGAAACGCGATACAGAACAAACTCGATTGTCTCGCCTCAATCGTTCATTCCCCTCGGCTGACGTTTTTTAAAATGCTTGACACCATCCTTGGAAACTGTGCGTTCCGTTTGAAGATTTCTATCCAATGTGTTCCGTTCGTGTAAATTTTACAATTCTCAGTTGCAGTGCCAAAAAGTTTTCTATGATATTTTTAAAGTTAGATTTTCTAATTTGTACTTTTTCTC